AAGCAGCTGCAGCACAAAATTGTGTGGCGCCAACATGTGAGGCTTTCCTTCTCAGGGTTTTAGGCAACCTCACCACTCTATCACAACGTTCAATTATACTTGTTTTTTAAACCATTAAAACTGAATAATAACGCTGGGGTATCTATACATTTATACTATTCATGTTCCAGAAATTGTGGTTCCAACTAAGAAGTGAATGGGTAAAAAATCCATTTGGCATTTAGGCAGTGCCTTTGTTGCTGCTCAACTAAAATGGGAAATCCCATTAAAAGTCGACAGCAGCAAAAGAATGCACGTAATAGTGAACATTGTTACCCCACAGCGTGCAGAATGGCACCATGGTGGTTCTGGTTCAGTGTATTGTATAATAAACTGTAGTGCCCCATGTCTGATTCCAGACCACACTAACTTCACAATCCCAATCACGTCACTGTGCCAAGTAGAGGTCAGGAGCTTCACCAGAGAAGAAAGGAACATCAGAAGAAGTGTCACCAACTCACACACATCTCCCAGTGGCCAGGTCAAGAACAGTATAGTTCAAACCCTATCTTACAATAGAATTTACATTTATATAGCGCCTTTCAAGTCAGGAGGACATCTCAAAGCACTCCTGCTGGTACCTAAGCTGGTGGTGGTGGGGAGTGTGAAGGTGCGAGTTCCACATTTTGGCCACAACAATGTTAAATCATCCTTTGCTATAACTGGGAATGTACAATGCAATGGTGGCCACTTGTGGCCCACAGGGCCATCAAGAAAGGAACCCTTCTTCGCATATGTCTGGTTAAGTTTCTGTTGGAGCGGTAGTGTGCTTTCAGTTTTTCTTGACTGTAGATTTCTAGATTCATGGCATAAGGTTAGCCACCACTGGTAATCTAAACTGACGCTCCAGTGCACTAATGGCTGAGATGTTGTGTGAAGGTCCAGTCTGCCTGTTTTCACATGAACTTTTAAGATCCTATAAGATTATTTGAAAAGAGTGAGTTTCTCCCAGTTTCTTGGCCAAGAATCCATAGATAAACTTGACATTCACTTCATAGCTGTTTGTGGGATCTTGTTGGCTGACATAGCTGTCAAATTTGCCTATAAAAACAGTCACTGAACAACAACAAAATTACATTTGTATAGCGCCTTTCCCGTCGTGGGGGCCGTACCTGGGCGCTGGACAATCAGTGTTTCGGACCTGAGCTGGGGTCAGGATCGGGGAGGGTGGAGGGCAATGGGTGAAGGGGGGGAATCTAAAGCACGGAGGAGGGTCTCGAAGGAGGCAAAGGAGGGGGGAGGGGGAGTGACTGCAGGATGGAGTTTCAGAGGGTGGGGGCAAGGAGTTTCTCCCATTATCCTGGCCAACAACCAAATATACAGTCAATTCACTTTACAGTATATTCTGTGAAGCGCTTTGGGACATCTAGAAGACGTGAAAAGCGCTATATCAAATGCAAGGATTATTATTATTATAATCACTTCATAACTGTTTGTGAGATCGTACAATGTACATACCACTGTATTTGCCAAAAAAACATAGTCACTTCAATTACCTGTGAAGCACTGAGAGACATTTCAAGATTATGGGCACTATATCAAAAGGAAGTATTATTATTGTTTTTACAAACAGCTTCTAACATTAACAGAAATGTTTCCAGCAAATGTAGAAAAACAAGGAATCTTTGCTATGGGTCAATTATAATTTCAGAACAAATATTTTCAATCTATCGCTAAGAACAGAACAGAAAGTACCCTGACTTGGTTTTCTTTCCCCTTTTTACTCAAGTAATTCATCCAGAATTTCCCAGGTGATTTGAAGAAATTATTGCAATCTGCAGCATAATTTCCCAGGGCAAACAAAGATACGAATCCAGGAGGACAGAAATGACTTGATGTACTGTTCAAAATGTAAAGGAGATTTTGAGAAAATCATTGCTCTCCATAAATGTCAAGTCAGAGTTCTCTCACCTATTCATACCTGGCTGATGCTTCTTCTTAACCTTCTTTCTCTGCTTGTGGCAGGCCAAAGGTATGGATGCAAACACATACCATATGGATTATTCCACTATGTTTGGATGGCTCAGTTAACAAGTAATGAATATTATGGTTTCAAGTCTGTACATGTAAGGGCAGGGGTCCACTCAATAGCATATAGATAGTTACCTGTGTTATCTGTCTTGCCATGCACACTGTTACTGAAATTGCTGAATCATATAAATATATCCTATGATGTTATAAATCACTGTCATACATTAAAATATAGTTTGACCTTCATTGTACTATATGACTGCAGCTTTGGTCCTATCTGCAATCCAGCATTTTTCAAAAAAAAATCATTCAATGTCTCATAAATCCAGCTGTTTCTCAGAAATGCTTTGTTAAAAAGGCTTGCAATAAGAAGCTGAGTGTCAGGCACAGTCCATTGAGATACAGTTGGATTAAAATAAATTCCATCAAACTAGGTATTCTCCACATCATCACTGATCAGTTGTCAAAAGCACTTAGCACCCTTGGCCTAGTGAGCAGGTTTATAATAATAATAATCCTTGCATTTGACATAGTGCTTTATCACGTCATTGAAATGACTCAAAGCGCTTCACAGAATATACTGTAATGTGAATTTACTGTATATTCTGTGGATGAAATTAATGTAATTAATTTAATTGGGTTAGTTTCAACCTTTCCACAATACCTTCCCAGTAACAGTGAATTTCTGATGTGGTATTCAACACTGCACCTCTATCACATAAGCAAAGAACCACCATAAAGTCTCTATCTAATAATACTGCACTTAAAATTGCCCAGACAAGGCCGGGGAGCGGGGTTACAATGGATTTCTAGTAACATGGAGGCACATGAACAAACTAAGCACAAACACACATACATAGAGTTAAATAACACATAGGTTTCAAGAGAAAAGTGCAGGAAGCTTTTCAATTGTTCTCCATGCAGAAGAAATGGCATTCAATTCCAAATATAGACTGAAAACATCGTGAAATTCCAATCACAGCTCTTGCTCCTAATTTTAGACACAAATTGAGGCATCTATGTTGGGAGATCCGAAGCCAAGGACCCCTCCTGTTGTACTTTTACATTAAAATGTTACAAACTTTCCACAGTCCTGTACAAGGAAGTAAAGGGAATGTGAGCAGCAAATGCTAGCCACTTGCAAACTAGAAATTATGTTCTTTTATAAAAGATTTAAGATTTCATAAAAATGTGTTTATCCAAATGCAACCCTTGCTCCATTTTATATGTGCAGACAAAACAAGGGGAGAGGCAATAAAATAAGCCCAGGTATACACTGCATATAAACATCTCAATGTCACATTCCTAGTTCTGTGCACTACACCCATCTGCACTGCCTGCCAATGTGTGGACACATTCGCTCCCTTATTTATAATCAATCAACTGTTTGTTCAACAAAGAAACCTGCCTATTTACTATTCATATGTGGATGTACTCTTGAGTTTTCACAATAACCTACTGTACCTGTTAACTACAAGGGAAGTCAGAACCAACCACACCTTTTGCAAAAAAATACCTCAGACCTAAATACCTAAATCACAATTTGTATTTGCAGTAAAATAATCAAAAAGTCCTGGATATTTTTTACTGCAGGGCTGCAAGTAGAAGTACTTTCTATGTAAAATACCAAAACTAATAGAAAGACTAATATAAACTTTATAAGCACTAGAATTTTGCAGAGATTTATAATGACCTGGACCCCTCAAATTGCATTTGACCTTGTTTGTGGAGTCCCGTAGCTCAGTGGTTAAAGCACTCGCCTCGCAACCAAGAGACCTGGGTTTGATTCCCGGTAAGTTTCCTCACTCAACACGCCTCTGTTTACCTAGCAGTAAGTAGGAACCCAGTTGTTAGTCGATTGACGGATCGCTTTTGCAGGGATCATAATCCTTCAAGAAAAAAATAATAATTTGATCACCCAATCCACAACTGATTGTGGGACACTGCTGTGCAATTGGCTGTCACTTTTCGCCCACAAATATACAGTCAATTCACTTTTCAGTATATTCTGTGAAGTGATTTGAGGCATCTAGAAGACGTGAAAAGCACTATATCAAATGCAAGGATTATTATTAAACAATTCCAATATGAAAATTATATTATTATACAGTTTTCCCTCAGTAAATGCTAATAACTTTTACCACAATCAGTTGATTATAAAGTACCATCTGTCTGACTATTTTGCAGAATGCTTTCTGCTTTCCCCACTGTTAACTCATAAAAACATATCACAAGATGTTTATATATTCAGTTATTTTTCACAAAGTGATGTTACAGTAGCAAAGAAATCTTACTGTGATTTTTATGTATGGCTTCTTCAAGAGAAATATACAGTGTGGATTTTATCAGGCACTTTTATTGGTCAACAATATGTGATCTACTAATTTTAAAAGAATGCTGTTTTATTATTAAAGTTCTTGGCAAACCTGAATGTTTAGTTGCCAAACAATAAAACTTGTGCCATAGAAACACCATTTCTTGTCATCATTGATGAAAAAGAAAATGCTCCACATATAAAGAAGGCACTTCTTCAACAGACATACATATGACGTCTCATTTCTGTTTGGCTCGGTAGTTTTGACAAGACACCCAGGGCGCCTTAACAAAAGAAACTGAAGTTCTGACATGATTAACAGACCCAGCTTGATGAAGTGATCATCCTCTGATACTGCTTTATTAGACAGAACACCAACCAGTACTTCCAGTTCACGTTTTTTTTGCATTATCTTACACAATATAATTAAAATATTTGTTTTGTCACTACAATCAAATGCTTTCTTCAAAGTTATATCACCAACACGGAAAACACAATGAATGAGGGCATCTTGTAGATCTGTGTGGATAAAGTTAAGGTTATGGTTAGTATTAAGTTTGAGTTCCAACTCAGGGACCTGGTCAACTCACTCCAATCCACACACATGTGGAATCAGACCCAATGTGGCTTTAACCTGAACTCTTTCCTCTCTTGCTCTGCCATTCAGATCACATACCTGGTTAGGATCAGTGGCCCTGAAAACATGGCACGCCATCTCAGACTCTGGGTTGTCAGGCTGGGTCCTGATCAAATAGGCAAAGTAGGTAAGGTCTTGACTGTTGTGGATGAACCTGGTGATGTAGTGAGCCTTGTGTTCGAAAATGAAGACGCTCATGTTGCTGCTGGTGGAGTGGGGGACACACCTGATGAGGGATGGCGTGAGGATCAGCACCACCTCCCGGGCTGACAAAGAGGATCCTGGCTCCTGCTTCTCATTGCGTCTCCGGATCTCGGCCATCAACCAGGGCAGCATGGGCAGGGTGGTCCTCCTGTCCAAGGTGGACCAGCCCATGTACCACAACGTGAACCTTTTCTCGGGTTTGCCCTTTTCATCCTGTTGTTGCTGGCTGCCGCCGCCGCCGCCGCCGTCCTCCATCCCCGCTGTTAGTCAGGATCAGACTGGTGATAATAACGTGCAGACTATCAGTATTATTATTATTATTATTATTATCTCTGCTCTGGGTCGGGCTGAGCTTCAGCAGCTAAAGCCTGACACGTGGTTGAGCGGGGGGGGGATCTTGTCACTAATACCCCGTCTCCGCCCTGGTCCAGGGGTTTGCACAGAGCTGAGCTGAGCTCAGGGGCACCTGGTGTGGGGGGGTGTGGGGTCTGTGTGTCGGTGTCCGCGCAGCTTCACCTTCACCTCCAGCCGCCGGGATCCGACATCGCGCAAACCGCACGGATCAACACATGGCTTCGGGGGGGGGATCGCGCCCCCGACCCAGTGATGGTGGGAGAGCCGCCCCCCCCCCCACCCCACCCCCTGACCTGACCTGACCTCCCCCCTGACCAGCCCCACCCACCCACCCACTCACCCACCCACTCACTCTCTCTCTCTCTCTCTGCTCGTCCTCCTCGTGTCCTTCAACACAGCGCTGGAGCCACTGACTGTAACACAGCCTTTTCCTCCTCTCTCTCTCTTTCCTTCTCTCTCTCCTCTCTCTCTCTCTCTCCTCCTCTCTCTCTCTCCCTCTCTCCTCCTCTCTCTCTCCTCTCTCTCTCTCTCCTCTCTCTCTCTCCTCTCTCTCTCTCTTCCTCTCTCTCTCTCTCTCCTCTCTCTCCCCTCTCTCTCCTCTCTCTCTCTCTCTCTCTCTCCTTCTCTCTCTCCTCTCTCCTTCTCTCCTCTCTCTCTCCTCTCTCTCCTTCTCTCTCTCCTCTCTTTCCTCTCCTTCTCTCTCTCTCCTCTCCTTCTCTCTCCTCTCTCTCTCTCTCTCTCCTCCTCTCCTCTCTCTCTCTCTCTCCCTCTCTCTCTCTCTCAGCTCCAGTTCAGCCGCCGCTTCCGTTTCGCGTTCACTTCTTTTTTTTTCGGGGGAGAACCGATTGATATATTATCTTTTTTTTAAGAACCCCCCCCCTCAAAAAAACAATAGCGAGAAAAATAACCTCTTCCCTTCCCCCGGGGGGGGGGGGGGGGGGGGGCACAGCCCCCAGTGAGAGGGGATCCCGGGCACAGCGGCTCAAACGTGGCCTCGGCTTTCGCTGAAACTGCCGCACAAAACCCTATCGCACCGCCTCTCTCTCCCTCCTCCTCCTCTCTCCTCCTCTCCACTCCTCCTCCTCTCTCTCCCTCCTCCTCCTCTCTCCTCCTCTCCACTCCTCCTCCTCTCTCCTCCTCTCCTCTCCTCCTCCCTCTCCTCTCCTCCTCCTCTCTCTCCCCTCTCCTCCTCTCCTCTCCTCCTCCTCTCTCTCCCTCCTCCTCTCTCCCTCCTCCTCTCCTCTCCTCCCTCCTCCTCTCCCTCCTCCTTCTCTCCTCCTCCTCCTCCTCTCCCTCCTCCTCCTCCTCCTCTCCCTCCTCCTCCTCTCTCTCCCTCCTCCTCCTCTCTCTCCCTCCTCCTCTCCTCTCCACCTCCTCTCTCTCCCTCCTCTCCTCTCCTCTCCACCTCCTCCTCTCTCCCTCCTCCTCTCCTCTCCACCTCCTCTCCTCCTCCCTCTCCTCCTCTCCTCTCCTCTCCCTCTGCTCCTCTCCCTCTGCTCCTCTCCACTCCTCCTCCTCTCTCTCTCCCCTCTCCTCTCTCCCTCCTCCTCTCTCTCCCTCCTCCTCTCCCTCTGCTCCTCTCCTCTCTCCTCTCCCTCTGCTCCTCTCCTCTCTCCTCTCCTCTCCCTCTGCTCCTCTCCTCTCCTCCTCCCTCTCCTCTCCTCTCCTCCTCCCTCTCCTCCTCTCCTCTCCTCTCTCCCTCCTCCTCTCCCTCTGCTCCTCTCCACTCCTCCTCCTCTCTCTCCCCTCTCCTCCTCTCCTCTCCTCCTCCTCTCTCCCTCCTCCTCTCTCTCCCTCCTCCTCTCCCTCTGCTCCTCTCCTCCTCCTCTCCCTCTGCTCCTCTCCTCCCCTCTCCCTCGTCCTCTCCCTCTCCTCTCCACCTCCTCTCTCTCCCTCCTCCTCTCCTCTCTCTCTCCCTCTCCTCTCTCTCTCCCTCCTCCTCTGCTCTCTCCTCCTCTCTCCCCCTCTCCCTCCTCTTTCTCTCTCTCCACTCCTTCTCTCCTCTCTCCCTCTTTCTTTCTCTCCTCTCCCTCTTTCTCTCTGCTCCCCTCTCCCCTCTCCCCTCTCCCTCTCTCTCCCCCTCTCTGTGCAGCTGCTGTGAGCTGTCTCAGCCCATGTCCGTCCGTCTGTGTGTGTGTGTGTGTGTGTGAGTGAGTGTGTGGAGCTGTGGGTGTAGTTACCCCCCGGGGAGGGGAGGGGAGGGGAGGGCTCCGCCGGGTTTGGCTCCTCTCTGCTCTGCTGTGGCTGTGCTGTCGGCGTGTTGTTTGCCTGTCCCGAGCGGAGTGAGGAGGGGAGGGGAGGGGGGGGGGAGGGCTTGTCCTGCCTTCCACCAGCCCCGGCGGCTGGAGGAGGAGGAGGAGGAGGGGTGGGGGGGGGTTCTGGGTGGAAAGTGACTTGGCCCAGAGCTGCGTGAGCAGAGGGGAGGCGGGGAGACGGGGAGAGACTAAAGTGACAGCCAACATGTGCCAAGTCTGACTGCCTGACTCTGACTGACTACTGACTGACCATCTGCTCTCTCTCTCTCTCACACACACACACACACACTCTCTCTCTCCAGAGCGAGTTCCACGCGCTGCTTATTTCAATGATAGTAATTCACCCCTTTTTTTTTCCCACACGGGGCGCACGTATTTTATTTGCTCCAAACAAAAAAGCCCTCCAGGAGTAATAGAAAGCACTGTCATGGGAAATAATCCTTGCATTTGAAATGACTCCCTCTCATTGTCACCAAGCGCTTCCCCGTATTTACGGCGTAAAGTGTAGTAACTGTGCACCCGTCCCGCAGTGGAACACCGCAACCGATTTGTGCACAGCAATGTTCTGCAAACAGTCCGTGGAGTGAATGACCCATTTTTTTTTAACTTTCAGGACATTGGGAGAAACTCCTTTCTCTTTTTAAATACTGCTATAGGATCTTTTAAGTTCACCTGAACAGGGAGAAGGTCCCTCGGTTTAACATCTTGAGGGCAATGCAAAGAACCCCCAACACTGCGTCAGTCTCTGGACTGAACTCACCGTCTCCCAATGTGGGGCTTGAACCCACAACCTTTTGACGCAGAGGATAATTGTGTACCAACTGAAACAGTCTGACACCTGAACTGCTGGTTAAATGGTGCATTCCACTCATCAACAAATGTGGAAATCTCAGACACACAGTAATTGAAATGAAATAATAGGAAGACTATAACAAGAAAAATGGATATCGCTCCCTGAGGGAAGAAATAAGACTGGCATTTTTTTTTACACATTTCATCAACCTGCCAATTTCAAAGCCCAAGTCTTCAGTCATTCCCAACCTTCAATGTGTTTCGTTGGATTATAATAATAATAATAATAATAATCCTTGCATTTGATATAGCGCTTTTCACGTCGGGAGGACGTCCCAAAGCGCTTCACAGAATAGACTGTAAAGTGAATTGACTGTATATTTGTGGGCGAACGCGGCAGCCAATTGCGCACAGCAATGTCCCACAAACAGTCGTAGATTGAAAATGACCAATTTATTATTGTTTTTGTTTTGGAGGGATTATTATTAGGCTCTGTGTGGAGTAAGGAAACTTGCCCAAGGTTTCGCCCTGCCTGGAATTGAACTCAGGTCTCTCACTTGCAAAGCGAGTGCTCTAACCACTGAGCTACAGGACTCCAGGATTCTGGAGACATCGATAAAAATGAGTGCAATAAAAGCAATTCTATAGTTAGTTTTATCAGAAGTTTGAACACATACCGTAACTTTTATGATACAAAAATTGTTTTAAGTGTTCACCAGGTTTTCTTCCTCGGTTTGCCAGTTAGTTATAAATGAACAGCCTGAATTAAAATACAAGGTGCTTCTGTCAGTGCTGCTGGTACATCATTGTATTTAAAAGAAAACTTGAAGAATATTTGAAGGTGAAGGGAATAAAGGGGTATAAGAGAGAGAAATAGAAGGGGTGGAGGCTTGTGTGAAGTATAAACATCATCAAGGACTAATTGGGCTTGTTTCCATGCCATAGTATTCTATGAAATTCTTTGTGTATCAGAAAATGATTTGCAGTGAATTTAGATTACCAACAAATTCCTTTAAATGTAAATAGTGCTTTCACATTTCTCTTAATTTCATATCATTCTTGCATTCTGCTCTGCATGCCAGAGCACCTGCAGATATCCAGCATTTATTTTTTTTGTTGTTTGTCAAGGTTAGGCAGTCAGTACTTCTTGCTGGGAATGGAACACTTTTTTTTGGCACCCAAAGTCAACGTTGAGCCCTCCAGGCAAAGCTCCCTCTTGTGCCCACAATATACCTTCCAGACTGAGAAAAGCAACCCCTGTTTGATTTGTTTTCATTTCCTATACCAGCCATTTGGACTTTCTGAAAGAGATTTACATTTTGTGTTAACCTATGGGAAATATGATATAGTCAGTTTTGTTTTATGCTCACTTTACAATTCACATTTATAATTCACACACTTTCATCCAATCAATCCTGACTGGATTCAAACCTAGCACTGGCAGATGAATGGGCAACATGTTAAATCAGTGGTCGGCCAACAAAATAAAGTTTCTTGATTGAATATTTCTTTGATTTATGCCATAAATTTTTTTTAAATAGTGAGTGAATGCTGTGCTGCATATTGCTGTATTGGACGTACCTTGACTCATGCAAATGTTCAGATGGGCTGCTACAACTGGGAATGGTCAATGCCAAGACTTGATTGAAAAAATGAAAAGAACGTTCAGCATTGGTATCTCTTATCTTGATAGCTTGCCCCCATTACAAAACACTGTGCTTATCCTATAACTAATATCACAGTGGCTAGTCTTGCAATGGAAAGGTGAAGTTTAATTATTTAGGATGACATGCTGTCTTTTTATGTATTGTCTACAAAGTGTTATGGTGGGCCGCCTAATGTCCAAATCTATATTAAATGGAATCTGTGAATCTTTGTGGGTGTGGAGGGGTAGTTGGTGATCTTGTGTAATGTTCTAATACAGCAATAAGTAGAACAGCATTTGCTCACTAATAAAAAAAAGGTTTTTTTTGCATTTTTAGCTCTTTATACTGTAGTGAGATTTATAACCGCAATGGAAGACTAAAATAGAGTTATAAGCTGTGACTATTCCTGCTAGTTTCATATTCTTTAAATGGGGCCATTTCAACATGACCAGAAGCCTACATGAGAACAAATAAGATCTCGCCAGTGAGATCAGGCAGCTTGGAATGAAGTCAAAGCTGTATTTGAGGCTCTCTGGTGATCAGGTGGGCAAATGATCCACCATCACTCCAACTGGACTGTCGACTTCAATCTGTTCAATGTGCTCTCAGTGCAACATTAAATTCTGCATAGTCAACTCGCGGTGGGTGTAAATGGATGTGAAGCAGACTTTGCCCCTAATGGTATCCTGGAAGATAAAGTGAGCTCTTGTTTTAGAAATATGGCTTCTAATTAGTGGATTCCTTAATGTGATTGATAATAATAATGTCTCACAGCACATC